AACAATTGTAAAGTATTTCATTTTAGTATAATGTATTATAATTTTTTTTTTTTTTAATACCGTCTGCACTGTAAAATTTTCCTGGGTCCGCCCCTGTGCATGCAGGCTGGCTGCAAGCTGGCACCTGCCTAGCAACTTGCAGCTAGCTGGGGGAGAAAACCGACCTCCCTTTTTTCAATGTTTGTTTCACGGGGCACTGACCGTGAAGGTACAAGCCGTAAAGCTCGCGGGTCACACCTCCTTAACCCGTGAACCGTTCATTCGGATCATGGGTCAGCCCGCAGTCCTGGGTCGATCCGAGCCGATTTTCACGGGTCTGATCGATCCGTCCATCTTGACATCTCTACTCCCTCTCTAGGAAATATAAAATTCTAAAAGTTAGTTATGATAAAAAATAAAATTATGATAATTTTTAAAGGATAAAATTCTCACTGTTTTGACTTTTTAGTGCTTGTTTGGTAGGGATTCTTGGAGGAATAATTGATTTTTGAATAGTGATATAATGAAAAATGTGTGGTTGAAAAAGAAGAAAAAATTATTAATATAATAAAAAATATTATTTTATTAAAAAATGTGTGGTTAGAAATGAGAATCAATTCTCAAATAAAAAACAAACACTCCCTTATCTTATTAATTATTCCTTCAAAGGCGGCACTCAAAGTCATCAGCATTATAACATCCTGTAGCGTTGTTCTTTCACTTTAATTAAAAACGTTTGTTTAATAATCTCATTCCCCAAATTAAATTCTCTTTCTGTTTCATCTCCTTCTCCACGGCCCCTCTCCTCAATTGCTCTCCATATACAAACTGCAACAAATTTTGTTATTCCGATTCAATTCCTAACCCTAAACCCCGTTTGATCCTTCACGTACTCATACATTTCGCGCAGAGAAAATAAAAACCTGAGAATGTCGGCGACGTGGAGTAAGCTGAAGAAAACGCTGTCGTTTAAGAGTTCTGGTGGACAGTCTTTGCAGAATCCGCCTTCTTCGTCACCCAATCAAGTGGATTCGGGATCCGCTGTGTGTCACTCTCCATCCTCCGTCACCTCGTCTTCTTCCTTCTCATCCCGTCTCTCCCGTAGCCTCAGTTCCAACCATCGTTCATCCAAGGTTTGTTTATTGTTTTTTCAAATTTTTATATTATTTCCTTTTTTTTCTATGTTATCTGCTCTGTTATGGGGTTAGGATTTGCATTTCCGGTAATTTAACCGAATTTCATGTTTTGCATCCCCCCCTTCCCGCGAAATGACGTCATCGAATGTGACAACTATTTAGCTGTTAACCCGAGAGACTGGCAAAAAATTTCTCATTCTAAATTGAAACAGATGTATGTTAATGTGACAGAAATACCCTTAGGGTTGCTCGCATTTGTCATACGTGTTGGACTATTTAAGGGTTCTTTCGGCGTTTCTGTTGCTAAACATCAAGTTTGCTTTTAGTCAATTGAATAAATAATTAATTACTATTTGATTATGGAATCGGGCTTATGCTGACAAATAGAGTTGGTTAAATGACAGTATTAATCTTTACCTTTGTATACAGTGTACTGAAGTCCAAGGTTTAAATAGTCATGCAGTCCTGTCGTCTCCTGTCCAAATAAGTGAAAAGCTTCTTTGTTAACGCTTTTTACTACTCTTTTTGTAAAAGTTACAGCAATATATTCTTTTACTTGTATCTACATGTTGTTGAATTCCATTTGAAGTTTTTTGTGCCACAGCCCACCTTCAATCCATTATGATTGGCTACAAAAAATAATAGATAACTACGTATTTATTCTATGGTTCATTTATAATAATAATAACATATTAAATATAACGAGAATCATTTTTTGGACGATTCTAACCCTACTATAATTCAATTATTTCAATAATATTTTGCTTTTCGTTTTTCAATATGTATTTAGTTACCATCAATGTACATGTACATTTGACATATTTATTTCACTTGTATGCTTTCATTAATGTATTGATTCCCTATTATTAATTTTAAATTAGTTAACATTCACATTTATTTAATTAATACTCATCTTTATTTATGTATTTCAGTATTATTAATTCTAATTATAAGTTAATTAGAATTTCATATTTTCTTGCATTTCATTATTCACGCCCATGTATGCTAATTAACATCCAGTTTTACTTAATTGAAAATTAAATAAATGATTTAACATTCATTGTCACGTATATATTCCCTGATATTAATTATAAATTAACTAACATTCACACATATTCAAATATTACTTTTACAGTACTTATAAAACATTTCAACGTTGACCAGTTGTATAAAATGCTATTTAGTGCTCTGTCTTTAGAGCCTGTTTGGTGTGGATTAAAATCTGATTTTAATTTAAGTTAAAGTCAGACAATTTATATTAACCACATCTTTTATGGTCCCACAATTTTTCAACCACACATTTCAAAAACTTCTATCACAATCTACTAAAAATCTAATTTTAATCCTCACCAAACACCCTCTTAATCTTATTAAACTATCTGGTAGGAATTAAATTGCCATTGGTCACTTTGATATGGCTAACAATCAATTGTTACCTGTAAGAGAATATGTACGTCACAAATGCAATACTTGACATATGCCCGACATCATGATAAGGGCTTCTTGTTATCGACGAGCTGATGATATTTTTGAAATTTTGACTTTATGAAAATTTTGGCAGATTCATCTATATGAAATGTGGTCAATCTTTCATCTGTTGTTGCTTTCAGCATATTTTGCTCTGTGGAAAAGCTGCTGATTTTAGTTAATCTTTTTGGTGAAGTCAAATCAGCTAGTTTTAGAGTTCTTTTGTGTTTATTTTGAACCATTTAAATTGCTCCATTGCAAGTGATCATTTAACCAGTTAAAATTTTTCTTGTTTACCAGTTTTGGAAACACAATTTCTTGATATAATAGCACAATACGTAGTTGCATTACTGATTTACTGTTATATGTATGTTTGGCTAAATATTTTACGAAGTTACGATTTTAGTTTCTACAGTTTTTACTGTTACTAACATTTTCTTTGATTATCTTGTCATGGTTGCAGAAAACTTGTGCCATTTGCTTGGGAAATGTTAAAGCGGGGCAGGGTCAGGCCATCTTCACTGCTGAGTGCTCCCACACTTTCCACTTTAGATGCATTGCCAACAGTGTGAGACATGGAAATTACCTTTGCCCCATCTGCCGTTCTAAATGGAAAGAAATTCCTTTCCAACTGCCCGATGTTAGTAGTGACCCCTTTCGTAATGCTGCTGGACAAGCCCGAGTCTCTCCCCATCATGTCCCATTTGAATATTACCCACCCAACTTCTCTCGTGTTCTTCAGCCTCCATTAACAACCTTCTCTGAGCCCCATCAGTACTCTGATGATGAGCCTCTACTTGTCGTCTCTGCAGATCTGTCATCACTAACTTCACGCGCTCATCCAAATACTGTAACTGTTAAGGCTTTTCCCGAATTTCCTGCTGTAGCTGCTTCAGAGTCTGTTTCTGGGTTTGCAGTTCTTGTTGGCGTGCGAGCGCCGCCAATCTTAGATGATGCTCATTACATTGAACGTGCACCGATTGACCTTGTCATGGTCCTTGATGTTAGTGGCAGCATGTCTGGCTCAAAGTTGGACCTTCTTAAGAGTGCGGTTTGTTTTGTCATTGAAAACTTGGGGCCTTCTGACCGGCTTTCTATAGTTTCTTTCTCTGAAAGTGCTCACAGAATCTTCCCTCTGTGCAGAATGTCTTGCACGGGTCGTGAAGATGCTACACTGGCTGTTAGTTTACTTTCAGCAGATGGTGAGACTAACATTGTGGAAGGACTCAAGAAGGGAGCACGGGTTCTTGAAGAAAGGAGTGAAAGAAATCCAGTAGCAAGTATTGTTCTCTTATCTGATGGAAAAGATACTTATAATGATATGAACAACAACCGCCGTCCTCAGAACCAGACTTCCTCAGATCCGACACATGTTCTAGAATATTTGAACCTGTTGCCTGTATCCATCTGTCCCACTGGAGCGAATCAGAATGAGGGTCATTCAACTACTTTCCCTGTCCACACATTTGGGTTTGGTTCAGACCACGATTCTTCTGCTATGCATTCTATATCTAATGCATCAGGTGGAACCTTTTCCTTTGTTGAATCCGTTGGCATGGTGCAAGATGCTTTTGCTAGGTGTATTGGTGGTCTCCTTAGTGTTGTGGCTCAGGAGCTTCGGCTCACTGTTAGGCCAGCATCACCCGGGGTTCAAATTGGAACGATTCCTTCCGGGAGATATGCGAATGTTGTTTCTGAGGGAGGAAGAAAAGGTGTGATTACTGTTGGAGACTTGTATGCAGGTGAAGAGAAAGAATTCCTTGTCAACTTGTCAATTCCAGCATTTGCGGGTGTTGAACGTGACGACGGTGTGGCGCAGACCCCACTTCTGCAAATCAAATGCTCTTACAGGGACGCTGTATCAAAGGAGATGGAACACGTGGAAGGCGAGAGAGTTGAGATACGCAGACCTACGACTTTGTCTCCTACAGATGTGATAGTGAGCGTCGAGGTTGATCGGCAGAGAAATCGCCTGTGGGTGGCAGAGGGCATTGCAGAAGCACAACAGATGGCTGAAATGGGAAATCTGGAGGGTGCACAGGCAGTGCTGACAAACAGGAGAGCAACCCTTCAATCTTCTGCATCAGCTCAAGCTGGCGATGGCCTCTGTAGTTGGCTCGAATCTGAGCTGACAGAAATTAGAGAGAGGATGGCAAACATGGAAATGTACGAGAGTACAGGGCGAGCATATATCTTCTCGGGAATAAGCTCCCATTCTTGGCAGAGAGCCACAACTCGGGGTGACTCGACTGGACATTCAAGAGTGCTGACAGAAGGTGGGAGTTCGAGCCACTCTGGAGCAGTCGGCTATAATACCCCAGCAATGGTTAGTATGCTTTCAAAATCACAGAATCTGACTTCTCTGAATCCACCCGAGCATCTTCCGCGACATAAAAAGTCAGGAAGCCTGACCCGAATATAAAAAAAACTTTAAAATTCATAATTAGTTTTGCATCTATGAAATAGTCTGTGTAGAAGACTAGAAGTATAGCCTTTTTGCATAAGGTGAGAATTGTTCCAGTTTTAACCCACTACCTTTTGCTAATGAGTCGGTGTTGTGGGTTTTAATTGATTCTTTTCAGGAAAGCGTTCATTATTGAATTCCTGAAGGTTAAATAAAAGATGTTTTTGGAGTTTTTCCATGTGGTTATATTCATTTTTGTATTAGGGTCGAGATGCAATGTTGCTCACTGTGTGGAGGTTGGATTTTTTTACCGACGGTTACGACTTACCTGCGTGAGCATTATGTCAAAAAATTTCTTGTCGAGATGCAATGTTGCTCACTGTGTGGAGGTTGGATTTTATTACCGACGGTTACGACTTACCTGCGTGAGCATTATGTCAAAAAATTTCTTGTTTAATGAGAAAGTGTTCCATTGTGCCCTTCCCTCGAGTAATTTTCTGTCTACATGAACGACGATGTCACTCTTACAATACACAAACCGTAGCATTAGTTAACATTTTTTGTCCATTGATGAGAAGGTGTTTCACTAACACGCGCCTTTCAAAACTTTCTATCTACATTAACGAAGATGTCATACATGGATCAGGGAAATATATAGAAATAGCCTAAGTTTGAAGTCATAATTCAAGAATGGCCTTTTGACCATTTTAAAGTTCTTAAAATACCCTCAAAATAAAAAATTGTTTAACAAGTCATTCAAAGATATAATGAATTTCATTTTAGTCTCTAAAATTTTAATCTTTTATAAAATTTGACAAATTGCTTCCCTTTTGAAATTAAAATTTAACGTTTCTTCACCATTAACTCTTTCCACCTATAAAACCCAAGAATATGAAGATTATGTTAACTATTGAAATTGTATTTTTGTTTTATTGANCATTAACTCTTTCCACCTATTAAACCCAAGAATTTGAAGATTTTGTTTACTATTGAAATTGTATTTTTGTTTTATTGAAAATTCCCCACAAAATGGTATCAGAGCTATAAGAAAATGGCAGATAATGAATTAATTTGTGTAGGATGGTTTGAAAACGATTATACTGAATACTTAGATACCGATTGTTATATTTAACATTTTGTTAATATTTCAAGAAATTTGATTAGAAAAATAAAAGACTCAAATGGTCTTAAAATAAAGAAAAAATTTGAAAAGAAAATTACTTTTCTTTTAATAGATTTTGATGAAATTTTAGACGAAGACATAGGATATCTTGTTAAAATGCCTATTCTTATAGAAATAAAAACTTTAAAAAGAATTCAAAGAGTTCTTAATAATGAAATTAGGAG